CCCCCCCCCCCCCCCCCCATTTTAGCAGTCTGTAAGCCTATAATGTTTTTAAGTCTTCCCACATTTTGAGGTGTATTTCTTAACTTTTCGGTCTCTGTATCTGCTTGCAGGGACAAAGGCATCAGATACAGAATGTGTGGACTGCGCTTCTGGGTTTTATTCTCCATCAGGGCTGAGCTGCACCAAATGGACAGAGTAGGTGAAGTGTTATTTGTGCAATGTCTGATTTGAATTTCTATCTGTTATTCATTCAGTATTGTCGTCATTTTTCTTAAGCTGTGCAGCCAGAAATGAGATTCAGGCAGAAGATGGCAGTCCTGTAAAAGATGTCACATGTGAACAGAAGCCAAAGGAAATATATGGTCTTGTAGATTTAATTGCCGCTTCCTTAGCAGAATTCTACAGAAGTTTATTCTTTGAAGTTCAGAAGGCCAATAATGGTAAGTGGACACAATTTATTTTTAAACTTAATTTGTGGCCAAGTGCAAACTATTTTTTTTTGTTAGCAGCAGCCTTTTGTCATTTTAAATATATTGGTGACCCTGTGCGGTTAATTTAATTGACCTGATTTGATAAAGGCCTCATAATTTTCCTCAAATTAAAAAAAAAAAAATAATAATTTAATATGTTGTAACATTGTAAAGAATGCACATTTCAAATTCAAAGTGTTTTTTTTCCCTTCTCATGTCTGGCAGAAGAAAAAAAGTGACGTTTATCCAGGAGCCTCAGCACAGGGCACTTGACAGGTAGCATCATTTTGAGTAGCCACATTCTGAAATCCTGGCAACAGTTTGTGGAGACCACCATGCCATTAATTAATTTTAATTTTAGATTTATTTTTTGATAAATATAAACTGTAGTTATTTTTGAATGGATCTATATGAAAGAAATTCTGATAAAAGGTCTATACCACTGATCTATATATGTATGACTGGATTACTCATAGAATTCTAAACTACCAGCATGCGGGAAGTGTTGAAGTGGTCATATTGCTATTCCACACTGGCATCATTGACTGACAGCTTAATTGTTTCTTTGGCTGTTGTCTGAAATATTTATGGTCTTTTCATGCAGCATAATCAATATAGTATAGAAATTGCTGATGAGTGTCTACTGCACACTCCTGGAGCATATATATCGGATCATTAGCAGAAACTGATGAGTGTACAATAACTATTACAATACAAGCATTTTACTATATCGTACTAATATTAAAATAATTCAGTGTTTACAATGCATCATCTTGTTTGGAGCAACAGTATAAATGCTTGGAAATAAAGCTTTGTTTCTTTAAGGCCATATGCAGTCAGCATTATTTCTATGAATAAGTTGTGAAGAGTATATTTTATTTCATTATGTTTTTATCCCTCTGTTATTGGGCACACTGAATTATCATGGCTGGCCGTGAATATCACATTTCTACAGTGGCATTATTTAGAAACTATTGCTTCTGTATGATGCTTCATCCAGTCCAACATAAAAATAACACTCAAATAGATCACCCTAAATAAAACCTCCTTAAATTGTGTTTGCTTGCCTAAACACATATCCAAATCATTCCCCCAATCTGGCCACTTGAAATGCAAAATGAGCGGATGTTAAATCAGTTGTGGAACAGAATCCCTTGTAAGAATCTATGATGCTTCTTTTGGGCCAAGAGCATCAAAGGGGGGACTGTAAGAATCTATAGTCTGCCCCGACCCAGATTCCACTCCACAATATGTTTGATCATGCTCATTTCCTAAAATGGCTTAATTATTATAGAGAAGAGGAAAGTCAACAGTTATGTTGTTTGTAGACCATTTGGGATGATCACATCCTGAGCAAATGGTGACCAATTGTAGAATGGGAGCAGGTGTGGGACACTGAGAACCACCTCAGACAAAGGGGTGTCAGAACTTACACTGAACAAAATTATAAACACAACACTTTTGTTTTTACCCCCATTTTTCATACGAGTCCGACTCTCTAACCATTAGGCCACGACTTCCCCTAATGGTTAGAGGAGTGGACCAACATTCCACAATCAACAACCTGATCAACTCAATGCAAAGGAGATGTGTTGCACTGCGTGAGGCAAATGGTGGTCACACCAGATACTGACTGGTTTTCGGACCCCCCAATACAGTAAAACTGCACATTTTAGAGTGGCCTTTTATTGTGGCCAGCCTAAGGCACACCTGTGCAATAATCATGCTGTCTAATCAGCATCTTGATATGCCACACCTGTGAGGTGGATGGATTATCTCGGCAAAGGAGAAGTGCTCACTAACACAGATTTAGACAGATTTGTGAACAATATTTGAGAGAAATAGGCCTTTTGTGTACATAGAAAAAGTCTTAGATCTTTGAGTTCAGCTCATGAAAAATGGGGGTAAAAACAAAAGTGTTGCGTTTATAATTTTGTTCAGTGTAATTAACATACAGACCACAGCTGTAACGACAGGAGCAACTTCTTTTACATTAACGGTAGTAAACTCTGTGTATAAAATGTTTGAGCTTAGGATGTTCGTGGTTCATTCCGACTCCGTTGAACCCAAGGTACTACATGTACTTTGTCACTGCTATGCTGCAATAAACATCTTCATCGAGATCTTCAACATCCTCATCACTTTTTCTTACACCCTCTAAAGACGACATGTCAGACTGATTTCTGATGATATTCGTGATTCATCATTGGGTGTTTCAGTAACTTTTAGGGTGACTGATTTTAATGTAATATGGCCATTACATATGAATAACACAACAGAACATTTGTTGCATCACAAAACATGCTGTGCATCCTAGTTATAAATACAAATAAAAGGTTAATGGCAAATCCAGTGTCTGATGTTCATTTTCAAATCATTTGCACCATTAGGAATCTGATAACACTTCCAGCATGTTTTTTGTTACAAGCAGTGTGATACAGCATGACAGCTGAGCTGAACATGGGTTTATACATTTAGAGGCTAAGAATTTAAAAAGTAAACAATTACAATTCTGACCAAAACAACTTTAAGGGATCTGAAGCATGAAAAAGCAAGAAATTGTAATTCAGCAAATAACAAGCAAGAATGCAAGCAAAATTTTCAGTTTAATAGTTGTGGATGACTATAAAAATAGAATTGAACCAGTATGTTCATCTTTCACAATGTAGAATTTTACTGGGTTCTTGAGTTCAAAAAGTTTCAGCTGGACAGCAAACAAGGTTTCCCAAAAGTGCATTGAATTATTTACTGAATATGAATTATGAATAATTATTGATTACTGAATATGTTATGAAATGAGGCTGTTAAACTACAAATTTAACTACAATACTAAAGTATTGATAAAGGCACATAAATCATACAAAGATGTGAAAATGATATGATGACATCTAAATTTGCTTAAATGTACTGCAAACAACTATAAATAAGACAACACAATGCTTAAGAAGGCAAAGGCTGAATAAAACATCATGACACTGAGATCTGGTAAACATTAAAAAGGGGAAACAGTAAATAAACATGGTGTACAAACTATATACATTTTTTTTTCTTGTACATTAATCGGTGGTATTCCCATTCATATTCAGTGTCATGCAGTGTACAGTCTTTGAAGTCTTTTAAACAGTAAGAGACTAAATGTTCATGCTTCTTTGCATCTGCTCCAGCGCGGCCTCCTTCTCCTTCAGGAGATCCTTCAAGCGTTTGATTCTCTCACGCCGTTTTATCTCCTCAGCATCCAGCGTCTCCAACGTGAACAGTGACTGTGTTGGAAATATGTCTATTTTGTGACCTTGCTGTTTCTTAGAGAATGACATGCTGGGGTTTTCTGATGCTGTTTGCACCTGGCTGGTGTCTTGCTGTGATGTTTCAGCATCTGTGTTGCTGCTTGTCATGTTACCACATTCTGTTCTGACTGAGGACAGTTCAATCTGGTTGTTGCAGTCCTGCAAACTGGATGAAGAGGGAGCACTTGAACACACAATCACTGGTGAGGAGATGTTGTGTGACGTGTCACTAGTAGAGCTTTCTAACAGAGCTTTGTTTTTACGTGGATTTCCTGATGACCGTTTCTTGCCTACTTTCTTAACAAGATCTTTATTTTGTGGTTGAAGTTTCTGAGATTGGTGACTCTCTCCTGGGGTTTTATTCAAGCAGCTTCTTCTTGTCCCTTTGTGTGACTCAACAACAGTACATGGATTCAGTCTGTCTTGTGAATGGAGGGATGAAGTGGCTTCTGCAGCCCCTAAAACAGTCCCACAAGGACAGGCCGTGCACACCTTAACCTTAATAGAGCGTGGTGGGGTCTTCCTTGAAGAGGAAGGTAATAAAGGATGACTAGAAGAAGTCTGTTTTGCTTTTTGTTTGGATGAGGGAGTAAGACAGCATGTGTTACCAGTACAATCTTCTGGCAATTCAGATTGCATATGAACCTTATCGGCTGTAGATTCTGTTGGTGAACAAACCTCTTCTTGACAAGCCAAACTGTTTTCCATCGGAACAACTGAAGATTTAGAGGCAGGTGAAATGTGTGTGGAGTTTAGAGAGGGAATATCTTGACTCCCATCCTGTTCCTGCTTTTTTCTTTTGACCTTCAGGCCTTCATCCTCCTCCATTTTTGTGTAGGGAACCTAGCAATTGAACAAAGTGGCATGAAATAAATCAATACCGTTACTCCCACATTCACATCTCTTCCAAAACAAGTGAAAAAATGGTTGACATGAGAGAATTTTTGCTTTTTTTAATGGCTTCATCCATCAATTAAATTAGGAAAGTTTTTTTTCCAAGGACACAGAAGCTAGAGCTGTCTTTAAACATTTTTTAATTAGCTTTTATTTTTATATTTCCAGTTTTCATTTTAATTTTAGCTTACATTTCAGAAATTTTATTTTATGTTTTTGTCATTATTAGTTTTTTAACATGTCTGTTTAGCTTTATTTTAGTTTTAATCATTTTAACTTATTTTCAGCTAGTTGCCAAGGCAGCATTTCTAGTTTTTTAGATTTTCATCTAATCTTCTTATTTTAATTGAATTCAGTTTTACAATTACTAAAACTATCTTTAATAGTTTTAGTTAACAACAACAACACCGATTTAGAAATATATTAAAATAATATCTTCTGTAATACAGTGGGCTGCAGCCCCAGTCTGATAAACGCTGCTGTAGGAAATATGTACATGCACTGTACATTATTTACAACACAATTTGGATGCATGAATATATAACTTGCCTTCATAATTTGCTGTATTTTTGACTGCAACTTGGACTCCTGGATCACTTTACGAAGGCCGTCTAATGTGCGTTTGTTTATGATAAGTCTCTTTGTCAGTTGATCTGGCTTCACAGTCAGCTTTGTTCTTTGCAAGCAAATCTGTACATCAGAGGCGATGCCAAATTCTTTTCTTAGCTGACAGTCACTCTTGGGTTGACTCTTTTCAAAGGCCTGTGACAGAAGAGAGAAGAATGCATTAAATGTCAGCCTAGTGAAACTTGTTATTTCATTACAGCTCACATAGAACATGGTTAATTGTGGTATATTACCTTTTCAGTATTATCAGTGGCTTGAATACAGACATTCTGGGGTGGTTCCAAAATGCTGACAGTTTCAGCAACAGCTGCATCATCTTGACATCTCATCTCAGGTGGACTTCCACCCTCCAAGTCTTTATCTGCCTCCATATTCACATTTTCAGAAAGGCAGCACAAGGTCCTTTCAGCTCTTTTATTTCCCTCGACCTGCTCATCCATCATCTCATCACCCGTTTTGGCCGAAGGATTATTCGGACCACCATCTTTTTCCATTTCTGCATGTGCCAGTTTTTCCCCTTCGTTCTGAGAGACAGACTTTGCGTTTATCTCTGTGTGTTGAACTTCCTCACATTTGTTCTGAGAGGCAGCTTTCTCCACTTTATCACCAGCATGAGTCTCTGACTTGGGTGGAATATATGACACAAATATTACATTAGAGTCTTCATCGCTCTCATCCACCTCTGTTTGACTCGGTGTGGGCAAATTTCCCGGAGCACCTCCCAGACACATGGACGTCTCCTCCTCATCATCACAGAGATCAATGATTTCACTTACATTTATTTTTGGGTCTTGCTTAGGAGAGTTTGACCCCAGAGCGGAGCTGGCAGGCAGGGCAGGAGAGGTGCTGACAACCCCCCTCTTACCACCTTCACTGATCATCACATCCTTGGCAATCTCCGAATTTCTCTTTGCCACAAAATAGACCTTCCCATTGCACATGACCAGGGCATTGTCTTTGCCTGGGGTAATCTTTTCTTGGCTGGTCTGAGGAGGTGTGGGTTTGCTCGGTGCGATTTCATTTACCGTCCCGACTGAGTTGACATGCTTGACTGCTTTTATGGTGTCAGAGCTGACATTCGATGTCGTTACAGGTACAAGGCAAGGAGCGAATGCACCTGTTCCCTCCTGCACGACCCATTTAATGGGAGTGTTCACTTCTTCATTTGTTTTAGGAACGCAAACAGGTGTTTGCAAGTTTGCAGGGGGATTTTGAAACAGGGTCTTCTCTATTTGACTTGGCTTTGTAACCGAAACCACTTGCTGGTCAGAATTTAGCTTTACAGAGTTCACAGGGGAAACAAGCACAACAGTTGGTGGACCCTTTTCGAGGTTAGGGGTGTTA